TGTCTCCATACCCCCTTCAGAAGGAGAAGCCACTCACTTGGCTGGGGTTGTGGCTTTAGTCTTCTGACCTGTAGAAAGACCAACACTCTGTCAGTGTGACAGCCACAGTGATGACATTTCTCTATGCCGCCTGATTTGTGCTGAGCCCTAGGCTGAGACCATCCTCAGAGGGACCAGAACTGCTCAGCTCTGCCCAAAGCCAAGCAGGGAAGGGCCTGAAACTCAGCAGGTACTCTGAGACCACCACCCCTGTCCTCCCTATTGGCCCCAGTAACAAATTCAGAGACACCCCTCCATCCTGATCCTCTTTCCCTTTGCCTCCTTCCCCCTGCCTTGAACTCCCTGCCCCTCCCTCAATCTAGAGCCCTCTACTGTGCAGCCCTCACTCACCCCTTCCCTTCCCCTTGGCACAGCACCCACCCCCCTTCCTGTCCTCCTGGAAACAGCCCGTTTTCCTTCTGAGTGGTGGCTCTTCCTGCTCTCCAGGCTTGTCAACCTCTTGGTTGGAATCTGTGTTTGTAGCCATTAGGGCTCAGTTCCCACCGCTGGGCCATTCCTCCTCCACCTCTGGTCTGGTCCTTCACTGACTCCTGTGCTGTGTCTCCCATGCCCTCTGCCCCTCACCATCTACCTGGAATTCACCTGGTTCCCAGACTTCCTCTCTATCCTGCAGTATCATCCGGGAGTCCTCAGCATCCACAGGGACCTCTGAATACAGGGCTCACTGCTCCCCTAAACTCCAGGTACCTCCACTTGTAGTCCACTCAGTAAACCCTGGGCTATCTTCTATAATGTTGGGCATGGGAACGCTGAAATATTAAATATCATTTCTCTGCTGCAACTTCAGTTCCTTCCAGTCACACGCACCATCTCTCTCTTTTTGAAAGTTAAATAAGTTTCATTTATTTCGTGTGATTAAAAAAAATCTGGAATTAACTATTTTAAACATTTGTAAGTATGTACTTCAATAGCATTATGTATATTTATTTACACTGTCAGGAAGGAGAACTTCAGATCTTTTTCATCTTGCACTACTGAAAATCTGTGCTCACAAAACTCTAACTCCAATTTCCCCCTCTCCCCTGGCCCTGGCAACCACCAGCCTACTTCCTGTCTCTACAAATTTGACTACTCCATATAAGCAGAATCATGCAGAATTTGTCTTTTTGTGACTCATTTATCTCACTTAGCATAATATCCTCCAGCTTCATTTCTACTGTAGCATGTGTCAGAATTTCTTTCCTTATAAAGGCCGAATAATTCTCTTGTGGGTGTAAACCATACTTTGCTTGTCCATTCATAGCTCCATGAACCTTATGGGAGATTCTCCCTGTTGGCTATTGTGAGCAATGCTGCTGCAAGTGTGGGTGTATAAATATCTCCTCCCGTCTTGCCTTCACTTCTCTTGGACTCATGCCCACAAATGAGGTTGTTAGATTATATACAGTAGTTCTATTTTTAATATTTTGGGGAATTCTGTATTGTTTTCCATAGCAGTTGTATGATTTCTGTCCTCCCCAGCAGTGTACAATTGTCCCAATTTCTCCTCTTCCTCACCAATGTATGTGATTTTCTGTCTGGTTTTGGTTTTGTGTTCTTATTGTATTGTATTTCAAATTAATATGCAGGTACAAGCGATAGGTTACATTGTTTTTGTTTGTTAGGTAAAATCCAAGTTGTAGTTCAGCCCTTCACCCAGGGGAGGTGCACCATACACCCTTACATTGTGCCTTTAGGAGAAAGCACGCCAGTGCCCTTCCTTCCTCCCCTGTCCCCTCACTTTAGTTTAACTCAGTTTTTCTCTCATGTGGCCATGTAGTTGTTCATCTGCATTGAGTAGGTTGGGTTTCATGCTAGGCTTGAGTACATTGGATTCTTGCTTTTCCATTCTTGTGATAACTTTACTAAGGAGAATGTTCTTCAAGTCCATCCAGGTACACACAAAAGATGTAAAGTCTTCATCTTTTTAGTGGCTGAATACACATACCACAGTTTATTAATGCATTCACAGGTTGATGGGCACTTCTGTTGGTTCCACATTTTGGTGATTGTGAATTAAGCTACAGTAAACAATCTAGTGCAAATGTTCTGTGGTGAAATTATTTGATTACTTCTGGGTAGATACCTAGTATGGGATTGCAGCATCAAATGCAAGCTCTACTTTTAGCTCTTCGAGGATCCTCCATACTTCTTTCCACAGAGGATGAATGAGTTTGCAATTGCACCAAAAGTGTAAAAGTGTTCTCTTCCCGGCACATCCACACCAGCATCTACACCTTTGGGATGTTGTGATGTGGCCTATTCTCACCAGAATTAGGTGATATCTCAAGGTGGTTTTGATTTGCATTTCTCTGATGACTAGGGATGATGAACATTTTTTTCATGGGTTTGTAGGCTATTTGTCTGTCTTCCTTGGAGAAGGTCCTGTTCATGTCTCTTGCTCACTGATAAATGAGATGGTTTGCTCTTTTCTTGTTAATTCATTTGAGCTCTCTGTACATTCTAGTTATCAGCCCTTTGTCAGATGTGTAGCATGCAAATATCTTCTCCCTTTCTGAAGGTTGTTCTATTTGCTTCAGTTGTTGTGCCATTAGCTGTGCAGAAGCTTTCTAATTTGATCATTTCACATGTATTTATTTTTGGTGTTGCTTCAATTGCCAGTGGGGTCTTCATAAAATCTTTACACGAGCCGATATCATCAAGAGTTTTTCCCACACTTTCTTCTATAGTTTTTATCATTTCATGTCTTAAATTTAAATCTTTTATCCAGTGTGGGTCAATTTTTGTAAGTGGTGAGAAGTGTGGATCCAGTTTCAGTCTTCTCAATGTGGCTCACCAGTTCTCCCAGCACCATTTATTAAATAGGGATTCCTTCCTCCAGTGTGTTTGGTTTGATTTATCAAACAGATGGCGATATGCAGCTGGCTTCATCTCTAGGTTGTCTATTCTAGTCCATAGATCTGTGTCTCTGTTTTTGTGCCAGTACCATGTGGTTTTGATCACTATAGCCTTGTGGTATAACCTGAAGTCTGGCACTTTGATGCCTCCCGATTTGTTTTTATTTCTTAGAATTGCATTGGCTACTCAGTTTTTTTTCTGATTCCATATGAAACAAAGCACTATTTTTATTTCTTTTTTTTTTCTTTTGGAAACAGAGTCTTAAGCTGTCACCCTCGGTAGAGTGCTGTGGCATCACAGCTCACAGCAACCTCAAACTCTTGGGCTTAAGGAATTCTCTTGCCTCAGCCTCCCAAGTATCTGGGACTACAGGTGCCCACCACAATGCCCAGCTAATTTTTGTTGCAGTTGTCATTGTTGTTTAGCTGGCCCAGGCTAGATTCTAACCTGCTGGCCTCCGTGTGTGTGGCTGGTGCCCTAGCCACCAAGCCACAGGCGCTAAGTCCAGAGTACTATTTTTCAAGTACTTCAAAGTATGATGTTGATGATTTAATGGGGATTGCATTAAATCTATAGATCACTTTGCGTAGTATGGACATTTTTACAGTATTGATTCTTCTTAGCCATGAGCATGGTCTGTTCTTCCATTTGTTGTCTTCTGCTATTTCTTTTCTCAGAGTATCATAGTTCTCTCTGTAGAGGGAGAGAAGGACATTCTCATTCCCCTCCTTTGTTAGATATATTCCCTACATATTTACTTTTCTTTGAGGCTACTGAAAAGGTGTTGTGTCTCTGATTTGATTCTCAGTTTGACTGTTTTTGGCATATATAAAAGTTACTGATTTGTGGACATTGATTTTATATCCCAAGACGTTACTGTATTTTTTTTTCTTTGAGACAGAGTCTCAAGCTGTCACCCTGGGTAGAGTGCTGTGGCGTCACAGTTCACAGTGACCTCAAACTCTTGGTTATAAGCAATTCTTTTGCCTCAGCCTCCTAAGTAGCTGGGATTACAGGTGCCCGCCACAACACCCGGCTATTTTTTTTTGGGCGGGGGGTTGCAATTGTTTAGCTGGCCTGGACTGGGTTCAAACCCACCATCCTCCGTGCCTGTGGCTGGCACCATAACCACTGTGCTACAGGCACCGGGCCGTTACTATATTTCTTGATCATTTCCAGGAACCTTGTGGTTAAGTCCTTTATTCTAAGTATAAGATCATATCATCAGCAGAAAAATAGGATTATGATAACCTCAATGTTTTTGTTTTGTAATAGCCGTATTCCCAACTTGTTTCTGATGACATACTATTGTGGTTTTGATTTGCATTCCTCTGGTGATTCATTATGTGGAGAATCCTTTCATATGTTTCCTGGCCATTTGTATATCATCTTTGGAGAAATGTTCAAAGATGTTCAAATCCTTTGCCCATTTTTAAATCAGGTTATTGGATTTTGTGTTGTTGAGTTGTAGGTTTTTATACATATTCTGGACATTATCAAATATATGATTTGCAAATACTGTCTCCCATTCTATGGGATGGCTTTTCATTCTGTTGATTGTGTCTTTGGACAAACAAAACTGCTTGAGTTTGTTGTATTCTTGTCTATTTTTTCTTTTGTGACCTGCATTTTTGGTGTCATATCCAAGACATTATTGCCAAGTCCAATATTATGAAGCTTTTTCTTAGGTTTCGGTCTTTAATCCATTTTTAGTTAATTTGCAAATATGGTATAAGGGTCCAGCCTCTTTTTTTTTTTGGCACGTAGATATCTACTTTCCCTAACATCATTTGTTGAAGAGAGTGTTCTTGCCTGTGTGAGTGGCCCTGGCACCCTTGTTGAAGATTGTTTGACTATATATATGAGGGTTTATTTCTGGACTTTTTATTCTATTTCATTGTTCTATTTGTCTGTCTTCATACCAGTACCACATTACATTTATTCTTTAGCTTTGAAATATGTTTTGAAATCAGGCAATATGCGTCCTCTAAGTTTGTTTTTCTTTCTCAAGATCATTTTGCTAATTTGTAATGTATTGATATTCTATTTGAATTTTACTATGAATTTTCTGTTTGTGCAAAAAAATGCCATTGGGATTTTGATAGGGATTGTAGTGAATCCATTGATTGTTTGCGCTAGTAGGAGCAAGCATCTTAACAACATTAATTCT